CAGGCTTGTTTTAGTATTTAAAAGTGAAAATTGAAATGCGTCATTCAAGTCACGAGTGTGTCCCGAAGTTGATGCGTTTATTGGTCCCCTCGCCACTCTGGAAGTCATCTTCTTAGTTTCATGCTGGGAAATATGATAATGAGGCCCCTCCCATGTGTTTTTCACTCTGAGAGAGTTAAAGGAAATTAACTCAACACAGTCGAGTAACAACAACACCACACTGTGTTGATAGAAACCAGCAGCATACCACCCTGCATCCCACTGCTGGCTTGCCTCTGAAGCTAAGCAGGGTTGGTCCTGGATGGGAGACCAGTTGCTGCTGGAAGTGGTGTTGGAGGGCCAGTAGGAAGCACTCTTTCCTCTGGCCTAAGAAAAATATCCCAATTCCCCAGGGCAGTGATTGGGGACATTGCCCTGTGTAAGGTGCTGTCTTTCGGATGGGACGTTAAACGGGTGTGCTGAATCTCTGTGGTCACTAAAGATCCCATGGCACTTATTGTAAGAGTATGGGTGTTAACCCTGGTGTCCTGGCTAAATTACGAGTGGCGCAGTGGTCTAAGGCACTGCATCGCTGTGCCACTAGAGATCCTGGTTCGAATCCAGGCTATGTCGTAGCCGGCCGCGACCGGGAGACCCATGGGGTGGCGCACAATTGGCCCAGCGTCGTCCAGGGTAGGGGAGGGAATAGCCGGCAGGGATGTAGCTCAGTTGGTAGAACATGGTGTTTGCAACGCCAGGGTTGTGGGTTTGATTCCCACGGGGGGCCAGTATAAAAAATATATAATAATAATAATGCATGCACTCACTAACTGTAAGTCGCTCTGGATAAGAGTGTCTGCTAAATGACAAAAAAAAAAAAAAAAGGTCACCTAATCATCCCCAGCTTCCAATTGGCTCATTCAACTCCTCTCCTCTGTAACTATTCCCCAGGTCGTTGCTGTGAATGATAATGTGTTTTCAGTCAACTTAACTAAAAAAATAAAAAATAAAGATTATACTGTGAATTCAAATAACACTTAATTTATTCACTGCAGGTGTCGTCAATTTCAATCTCACTGGTGTTAGCCCCACTGGAATCAGCACTCAGACATAACACTCACAACACTTTATACCTCAACACCGAGACTTTAACACCTGCAAATATGCGGTGTAATTTTTTTGTGGTACTGGATTCTCCTCTCCTGACTGTATTTGGCTGGTGTATTTGGTGTGTGTTAGCCCAGCGTTTCCTAAACCCGGTCAGAGACTTGTCCCGAAGCCACTCCTGCGTTGTCTTGGCTGTGTGCTTAGGGTCGTTGTCCTGTTGGAAGGTGAACCTTCGCCCCAGTCTGAGGTCCTGAGCGCTCTGGAGCAGGTTTTCATCAAGGATCTCTCTGTACTTTGCTCCGTTCATCTTTCCCTCAACCCTGAATAGTCTCCCAGTCCATGCCACTGAAAAACATCCCCACAGCATGATGCTGCCACCACCATGCTTCACCGTAGGGATGGCATTAGCCAGGTGATGAGTGTTGCCTGGTTTCCTTCAGACGTGACGCTTGGCATTCAGGCCAAAGAGTTGAATCTTGGTTTCATCAGGCCAGAGACTCCTGTTTCTCATGGTCTGAGAGTCCTTCAGGTGCCTTTTGGAAAACGGCAAGTGGGCTGTCATGTGCCTTTTACTGAGGAGTGGCTTCTGTCTGGCCACTCTACTATAAAGGCCTGATTGGTGGAGTGCTGCAGAGATGGTTGTTCTTCTGGAAGGTTCTCCCATCTCCACAGAGGAACTCTGGAGCTCTGTCAGAGTGACCATTGGGTTCTTGGTCACCTCCCTGACCAAGGCCCTTCTTCCCCGATTGCTCAGTTTGGCCAGGCTGCCAGCTCTAGGAAGAGTCTTGGTGGTTCCAAAGTTATTCCATTTAAGAATGATGGAGGACACTGTGTTCATGGGAACCTTCAATGCTGCAGACATTTTTTGGTACCCTTCCCCAGATTTGTGCCTCGACACTGTCTCTGAGCTCTACGGACAATTCCTTCGACCTGAAAACTTTCCGAAAGCACTGTATGTATTCATTTGTGGATGTCCGCCATTTCATATAATATGTTACGAATTACAATTTGTATGATATGTTACGGATTGCAATTCGTACAATTTGTTAAGAATTTGCTAAACATATGATATGTTGCGAATTCCAATTTGTTGTAGCTAACATTAGTTAGCTAGGTGGCTAAAGTTAGGTAGGCTAGGGGTTAGGGTTAAGGGTTAGGAGATAGGTTAAAGGGTTAAGGTTAGGATAAGGGTAAGGCAGTGCTTAATATGTAAATCGGGAGGTCCCGGAACACATAGTGAGCGCGAGAGGGGGTTATCCAGGGTGCTCTGAGGTACCCCCCCCCCCCCCCCACCACATTGCGAGCAAAACATTTTAGCAGCCACCCTCTTGACAGCGGAGAGAACATTTTCGTGCAATTCTACACAATTTGCCATGTGGCATAGAGAAGATTTAGCAATTTAAAACTAATATCATGCAATTCTACTCATTTTGCCATGGGGCAGAGAGGACAATTTGCTGTTTTTTAGCAGAACACGCATATGAGAATATATAGACCTCCTGCCTATGTGATAAAATGAAGCGCAAATTCAGATTAACTTCACAGTACAGAAAAATAAACAGGAAAAATATGTTCCTACCTTAGTTTTCAAAACCTTCCACAATGACTCTCCCAATGTCAAGTCCATTTAACTCCTGATTGTTAATTTCTTGCTCAATGCAAGAAATGTGGCTGTGATGGTTAGCCTCCTTGTAAGGCTGTTCGGAACACTGTCTGTAGTGTCTATTTTTTCATTTTGAGTGTTAACTATAACCTGGGTGTCCTCTTTAGCCTTGTCTACATTGCTTGCTGCCACTAAATGCACCTTGGTTCGGGTATGTTCAAAAACCTTTTTTTCTGAGGGCTCTTTGTAGTTTTTTTTACGTCGGAGGCAGAGGACGTTACTGTAACTTCCACCCACTCTTTTGCTAGTTTAATCCATCCAGTCTTTTTTAGACCCAAGCTCCCTACTTTTTTGCATGTTGTACAGCCCAGCTTTGAAATTTGCATGACAAGCCAGGGGTAATAAGTTTGCTTGTTCTTGAACTGAGCCTTCGTCCAAATTGCACCTGCTCCGAGCACTATGTCGGTGGATGCACGGTGGAGAGGTCTGGAATCAGTGTGGCAGGATAGGGTGATTACACAGAAGGATCCCAGCACTTTTACGTGATGGTTTTTCTTGGGGGGTGGGAGAAATAACGAGGAGGCAACTTGATTTAACTCTGGTCGCTTTTATTAGAATGTTTGAAATTAATAAATAATGCCGCGAGAGGTAGCGGATCCGGGAAAATAGGTACCGGAATGAACTATGTCAAATCTGAGAGATGCCGGATCCAGCTCAAATTAAGCACTGGGGTATGGGTTAGCTAACATGCTACGTAGTTGCAAAGTAGCTAAAAAGTATGATTATTATTATTTAATTTTTTAAGTAGCTAAAAAAGTAGTAAGTAGTTGCAAAGTTGCTAATTAGCTAAAATACTAAAGTTGTCCGTGATGAGATTTGAACCCTTTGGGTTGCTAGATGTTTGTGTTATACACCCACCCATTGACTCCGACCAACAACCCTACCTTTGTTTTTGCCTTAAGTAAGATTCTGTGTTATCTAACCATACCAAACGTAACCATATCAAACTAATTTGAGTGTCCCAGATTTACATTTACTATGTTACGTCTAGTCTATGAGACCAGGCTATAAATATTTTCTGGGTGTGGAGTGCAACAGCCTACTTTCACAATAAAGTGCATTATCATGTTTACTGCATTTGTGAAAAAAATATAAATTCTGTGAGTTCTGTGCAAGTGCTACTGAAAAGAAAACACTCCATCTAACCTACATGCAAATTATGAATAAAATATTTGCATGTTGTTTTTTATTATTTTAGTGTGACAAAGCACAATAATATGGAAAACTTAATTGTTTAATTAATTTCCTTATTTTGGTGGGATAATAGTTCTCTTTGAAGAGATCTTGAATCTGGTTTAGTTGAACCTTAGGAAATTGGTCTTAATGGCCCATGTCTAGATTGTATTTCACAGGCTGACAGTTTATGGGCAAAATATGGAGCCTGTTAGCAAAACAAACCGCAAAGCAAACCCCCTGCAAGTGGAGATTGACAAAGCAGGGAGTTTAGGAGAAAGGAGGCTGAGAACAGGGGACAATCAAAGGCTGTTATTTTAATCTGGGCTGCCTCAGAGATTAGCAGACCACATTGTTTTAATTGTTTTAACGGGAGGGAATGAAGCGCTCGTTTATTGTGGGGAGATCCTTTGCGTAAATCTCCTCAAGTTCAATAGTTTCAAAAACTTGAGCCCTTGGACCCCCCTCTTTTCCCTCATCCCACCTAATCCAAGCTAATACCTTTCTTTCTATTGGCTAATGGTTTAGGGGAGCTGGAGTAAATGCTTCTTAAATAGTCGTGGGTCGGTGGGTGAGAATGGTTTTCGGAGAATTAGATCCATGACGTGGCGTACGAGGATAAGGCCTGAATTTCGAAAGTATTGGACTGTATAGGTGGACTTCTTTGCCTAAAAGCGGACGAGAATTGGTTACATTTCTGCTGTTTTGTGAGCTTTTCAGGTAAAATAAAAAATACTAGAACTTTTACACACTTTTTTGTCTGATCTGTATTTTGAAAATAGTTGTATGCTGGTAGCCTACTGCAGCAGATTACACAAAATCAAGTGGCAATGGTTTATGCTTAGAGAATAATAACTTTCATTTACTTTAAATTATCAAGAAAGTTGAAAACGTATATTTACCAGTTGTTCTGTATTTTACATTTTTTAAGTGAGTTTAGACTGTAAATCTAAATTGCACAGTGCAAGCGTCTTACATTTACAGTAAGCTATATAGGCGATATAGTCTTTTCCATTGTAGGCTTAGTTATTATAGTTATTAAAAACGGTTATTTTGTCTATATACATTTAGGGCCGCTATGAATTCCTTGAATTTCTGCGGGGGATCCAACAGTGGAGTCTATCCTCTACACAGCTTCAACTCCGTCTTTTTCGACCACCACCAGATGGAAGACCAGTACCAGGTTTATTCATTGGCCAATCCCTCCTCGGTTAACACGTTCTCTGTTGCTGAAAGACTTGCAGGTATTTAGACTACACTACTTTAACTTATGACAGTGTCTGTAATCGATGCATGCAATCAAACAAATGCAGGTGGCAACATTTTTCACACACAAAAACAACAACATAAAAAACATTTGTAGGCTGCAAAATGATAATTGTCATCAAATCAAATTGTATTTGTCACATACACGTGTTTAGCAGATGTTATAGCAGGTGTAGCGAAATGCTTGTGCTTCTAGCTCCGACAGTGCAGTAATATCTAACAATTTCACAACATATACCCAATACACACAAAAAAGTAAGGAATGGGATTTAAGAATATATACATAAATGGACAAGCAATGACAGAGCGGCATGGACTAAGATACATAATTATATTATAGAATAGAATGCAGGATATGCTGGTATTTTCACGTTTAACCCGATATCTCACATGCCAACTGGCTGTTTCACCACTAATCTGGTTGTGGCTTTTCCTCTGTCCCCACAGAGTTGATCCTGGAGGCCCGTTATGGGAACCAGCAAAAGCAGCGTCGGAGCCGCACAGCCTTCACTGTGTCCCAGCTACAGGCTCTAGAGAAAGCCTTCCAACAGACCCAGTACCCTGATGTAAGCATGAGAGAGAGACTGGCTGTCTGCATCAACCTGCCTGAGGCTCGCATTCAGGTCAGTAAAGGCCGCTCTTCAAAGAGGACCAGCCTGTGCGCATGCATTCATTCATAATATTTATTTGAACTGCTGCTTTTAGTAACTTTATTCTTGTAATATACAGTACCTTCGGAAAGTATTCAGACCCCTTGACTTTTTCAACATTTTGTTATGTTACAGCCTTATTTTAAAATGGATTAAATATTTTTTTTTAAATCTCAGCAATCTACATTCAATACCCCATAATGACAAAGTCAAAACAGGTTTTTAGAAAACATTTAACATTTATTACAAATAAAAAACAGAAATACCTTATTTACATAACTATTCAGAACCTTTGCTATGAGACTCGAAATTGAGCTCAGGTGCATCCTGTTTCCGTTCATCATCCTTGAGATGTTTCTACAAGTTGATTGGAGTCCACCTGTGGTAAATTCAATTGATTGGACATGATTTGAAAAGGCACACACCTGTCTATATAAGGTCCCACAGTTGACAGTGCATGTCAGATCAAACACCAAGCCATGAGGTTGAAGGAATTGTCCGTAGAGCTCCGAGACAGGATTGCATCAAGGCACAGATCTGGGGAAGGGTACAAAACATTTATGCAGCATTGAAGGTCCCCAAGAACACAGTGGCCTCCATAATTCTTAAATGGAAGACGTTTGGAACCTCCTAGAGCTGGCCGCCTGGACAAACTGAGCAATTGGGGGAGAAGGGCCTTGGTCAGGGAGGTGACCAAGAACCCGATGTTCACTCTGACAGAGCTCTAGAGTTCCTCTGTGGAGGTGGGAGAACTTCCAGAAGGACAACCATCGCTGCAGCACTCCACCAATCAGGTCTTTATGGTAGAGTGGCCAGACGGAAGCCACTGCTCAGTAAAAGGCACATGACAGCCCGCTTGGAGTTTGCCAAAAGGCACGTAAAGACTCTCAGACCATGAGAAACACGATTCTCTGGTCTGATGAAACCAAGATTAAACTCTTTGGCCTGATTGCCAAGAGTCACGTCTGGAGGAAACCTGGCACCATCCCTACGGTGAAGCATGGTGGTGGCAGCATCATGCTGTGGGGATGTCTTTCAGTGGCAGCGACTGGGAGACTAGTCAGGATTGAGGGAAAGATGAACAGAGCAAAGTACAGAGAGATCCTTGATGAAAATCTGCTCCAGAGCGCTCAGGACCTCAGACTGGGGCGAAGGTTCACCTTCCAACAGGACAACGACCCTAAGCACACAGCCAAGACAACGCAGACAGTGGCTTCGGGACAAGTCTCTGCATGTCCTTGAGTGGCCCAGCCAGAGCCCAGACTTGAACCTGACTGAACATCTCTGGAGAGACCTGAAAATAGCTGTGCAGCAACACTCCCCATCCAACCTGACAGAGCTTGAGAAGATCTGCAGAGAAGAATGGGAGAAACTCCTCAAATACAGGTGTGCCAAGCTTGTAGCGTCATACCCAAGATGCTTTAATCGCTGCCAAAGGTGCTTCAACAAAGTACTGAGTAAAGGGTCTGAATACTTATGTAAATGTGATAATTTTAAAAAATAACTGTTTTTGCTTTGTCATTATGAGGTATTGTGTGTAGATTGATGAGGGAAAAAAACAATTTAAATAATTTTAGAATAAGGCTGTAATGTAAGAAAATGTGGAAAAAGTCAAGAGGTCTGAATACTTTCCGAAGTAGTGGTATCAGTATTACTTTTTAAAACCTTTATTAACACTTCAACCCTTCACCAATAACTAAATAATATACTCCTCCAGGTGTGGTTCAAGAACAGAAGAGCAAAGCTCCGTAAGGGACAGCGATGCTCTCCTCTTCGCAGAGTACAAAGCCTGGAGGAATCACATCAAACCAAGGCAGGAGGGGAAGAGAGCACTACCAAGGACTCCAAAACACAAAGCAAATTCGCTCCTCTCAGGGAAGTCAGTGATGCTCCCACCATTTCTTGTCCTGGAGACGCCATTGCAACTCAGGCCCACTCAAGATTACATTATCCTCCCGTTTTTCCCTTTGTGTGTGGAGAGCAGAACCACCTTCCACATCATCATGCTTTAGGGATGCTGTCAGCTGGCTTACATTTCACCCCCAAATTCTGGCCCATTCTACAGCAACACAGCCCGGCCTTAGGAGTTGCCCCACCGGTTGGTAAAAATGGCAGCCTTTCCCTTCAGACTTTCTATCCCAGTAAAGCTTTACCCCACACCAACCTGGGTCTATAACTTCTCTGCAGTGTGTGTTGACAAAAAGGGACTCAAATAAGAAAAGAGTACACTGGTGTACTAGTATCAACATGGACACATAAACTACTGATTGTAACTTTGACTCTGTACAACTGTTTGTATGTGTGAAGGACCTTTGCTAATTGTCCTGTTAGAGTACCTCTGACAAATGATTATGTCTGTAGATGATTAGTTTGATTAAGAAACACTCAAGGGGCTAGTATGTTGTGAGCATTCGGGATCGCAACCGGGAGTGTATTGGTACATACTGCATATGCTTAGAGATGTTACTGTCAGTTTTTACTCACTTATGACAAGCACTCTGTGTTGTTGTTGGTTTTTATCGCACTGCTTTGCTTTATCTTGGCCAGGTCGCAGTTGTAAATGAGAACTAGTTCTCAACCATCTTACCTGGTTAAATAAAGGTGAAATAAATCAAATAAAAAAACGTAGGAGAATAGAGAATTTAAATGTGGTTTGGGGCACTTATTTCTTTTAAAATAAAATATCAATTTGTTCAAGACAATTTTCTGTAATGTCTCATGGTATGACTCTTTAGGCCTATCCTATATTAATTTCATGTTTATACACAATAAAACCGTAATTCAACTGTGTGTGAATACAATTATTTTGAATGTCTTTTTAGTTTTTCCATTTGTTTCTTTTTTCAAATAGAAAAATAATAACCCAGATGAGTTTGGGTCTCTGGTCTTGGGCAAAAGAAAGCAATAACTCAAGCAATGGGAGGTCAAGGGGTTAGAACAGAGGGTAAATGACTGGGATGTGCTCCAACAGATTCCTTGCAGGGAGGGAGTGCCAACCAGATACCCCTGTGTCAGGACAGCCAATAAGCCTGGCACGGAAGGCTACCAGCCAGGTGACCAGAGGTAGCAGATGGTGGTTATAGGCCTACAGCACACATCAACTATAGAGCTTCAGATTGACCTCTACACCATTGTTAGATTGAACTAATATACTAGTCAAAAGCACAATAAAAGATTGAAATAAGGGTCATGGCAGAGGAGGAAATATTTGACAAAATTCTCATGCTGTGTAAATCAGCAGGACATGAAAATTACTTTTATGTCTAGTAGGTTATATAGGCCTCCTGTAGCTCAGTTGGTAGAGCATGGCGCTTGCAACGCCAGGGTTGTGGGTTCGATTCCCACGGGGGGACGGTATGAAAAATGTATGCACTCACTAACTGTAAGTCTTCAGAGCGTCTGCTACATGATTAAGATGTAAATGTTTTAATATAGCCCCCTCAAGACAACAAAGTTAGACAAATAAATGCTCTTCAAAATCATGCAATATTGTTGGTGTTTGATGATTTTGGTATGCTTTACCAAATGACAGCCCAGTAGTTCACAAAAGCTCAGCATTTGTATCTCCATAAATTGTATGGTTGGAAACTGAGCCACAGCATCAACACACGACTATTTTCATGGGTTATTGAGCTGTATGGATTTTAGTCATATTCTCCAAGCAAGGTGCGCTAGTTTACCAGCGCGAGGATATCGGTGGGAGTGGAAGGTGACGCTGAATGCTTGCTTATCGGCTGGGAGGCTTAAAGAAACAGCAAGACCTAGCGAGGGAGAATAGATAAAATCTCATAAATACATGAACATGTTGATACATCCACTTTGAAAATACACGTTGACAGGTAAAATACGTTTCATGGTTAAGTGGGGGAGCTTTTTCCGAAGGCAATCGCATTTAGCCGTAAATGAACGACCTAGCTAAGGAAAGAGCTAACGTTAGCTGCAAACTGCATTTCTGTTGTGGGATTAAGGAGTTGCCCACTGATGTTATGTTTGGGAACTGAAAACAAACGCAGCTAATTTAGGTGAAATGCACTTTGTTAATTCGCTTTTACGTACTTCGTATAATATGTTTACACTATTAGAAGGGCTTGTCATGATTAATGTGGAATTAAGGTTATGGCAATTACTATTTGATGTTCTATGCAGTTTTAGCTTGTTCTACTCGGCAGTAGCTTGCTTGCTAACGTTAGCTAGTTAGTACGTGACTGATCAGTGTGTTTTGGGAACAAGTAGCTAGTAGGCCAGGATATTTTCAATGATCACCCGATGAGGAACTAACTAATCAACAATTTGAATAGTTTGACAAGAAAACAAGCTGGTGACAATATCAGTATTGGCCACTTCCAATTACATGTCAGCTACCTCACCTCAGCACGCTAGTAGTAGCTAGTTCGCTAATGTTAGATGGGTAGCTAGCTATCTAGCTGGCAAGTCTGAAAGTCGATTTTTCCGGCTCCTGTTTCTTTAACTCGTGGGTAGTATTTACGGAGTTGACAAGTAGAAAAATATGGAAATCACCGATTGATCACAAGTATTGTCCTCTTCGTACGGGTACCAGGTTAAGCTACCTTTCCTAAAAGGGCCACACAACTGACAGCAGCTGCCATAGAATCAGGCTAGATAACTAGCTAGCTAACAAGCTAGCATGAACTCTGCGCGAGGAAGAGAATGCGCTAACTAGCGAGTTAGCGCGATGTGAGGCCTTCTTTAACCAGTGGAGTTGCCTTCATCACATACCCTAGCTTTATAGCTTGTCACTAATCTCACTTGTTAGCTAATTTACTACAGACGTTATTGTTTCGTTTGTCTGTTACTGTTAGGACTCAACTCGTTGGAAAGAGAATATAGCAGGATACTAAGGCAAGTAGCTAGTTAACGGTCGCTAGCTAACACAACATCTCGTGAAAATGTGTCGCGCAAACATTCGACCAAGCATTTATTGTTTCTTCAGTGTCAAATGGCTACCAAATAGGATTCAATTCAATGGCTCATATTGGCTATAGTATTTATAGCTAGTTAGTGTCTTGTATATTGCTTGAATGATGACTATATTGTAAACAAATGTTGGCTAATTTATGTATGAAAGACGGTGGTTACTCTCATAACCACATGTTGGCAATTTATGCCAAGTTAAAACAAATGTGACAATAATATTCAACTGTTTATGTAGTTACTAACTAGTCAACTGTAGTGTTCTGTTTCTGTGGCTTTTCAATTTCTCAGTAAAACAGTCGGTTGGAATTGATAATGTATCATCACATTGACTCAAATTATTTGTTCATTTTACTGTCAAGTTTGAAATATGGTTTTCCTATTAAAACCAGCCACACTAATCAAATTCTCCTCCTTTTTCTCTGTTTACATGACTGAGCTGGAAGTAGCATGTGTTCAGTGCTCTCACAATTTCATAATTTGTGGTGATGGATACATTTAGCAAGTAATGGGGTTTCCATTTAATTGATTGACTTTTTAATGACTAAGACATGTCCAACTACAAGGAGGATACAGTGATTTAATGATTTACCTTATCTGCTCTGAACACATGCTTCTGTTTCAGTCTTTGCACAGGTGAAGGCACACACACACACATAGTCCTACATTTAGCCTATTCTACTCGTGTAAGTTAGTTTATTCTACTACTGCAAAAAGCTTGCACTGGGTATTGGGCAAGTTAAATTGGTTAATGTTGTGTTTTACTTGCTTTCTCTTTACATGCTATTTCATGATTTCATTGATGAACATTGATATATATTATATAGGTAAGCCCTTTGGCTTGCCCTCTCCATTTCAAATCTATGATGTGAATCAGTTTCCCAGGCTATCAGACATTTTGGCAGTCATTGATCAGTTTAAGTGCATTTCCTGAGGAAAGCATAGCTGCCTGCAGATATTGCTGGCATTACCTGCTCTCCATGAGTATCAGCAACATCACAGTTCCCAAGGGAAGGGGAGGGAGGAAAGCTGGGCCTCAGGGTTATACAGAAACCTCCATGTATGCTATTAACTATTCAAAGGCTGTCAAATCACACTACCAGTGAAAACTGATATATTGATGAGGTTGTGGATGATTGTGCCAAAGCATAGGCTATGTAGCACACTCCAGTTGAATTTGTCCAATTTTACATTCCTATGACTCAATCACGTTTGATAGTCTTTACAGCTAATAGTCAAGGAACACCTTTTGTCCAAAGCCATAGCCCTATAGTGTGTTTGTATAGATACAGGTTTTTGGGCATTCAAAGATGAAATGTCCTGGAAAGGGGTGTGTTGTTCTCAGTCTAGTATGTGATGTTTCCACCCGTATTGATTGCTTTATTGAATTCACTGCATGTACCATTCTGAAAATGGATCCAATTTCTACTTCAGGCTGGAAATGTATGAATTACCAGTAACATACTAGCCTTTATAAGATCTTATCTCAGACTATTATTACATGCAGATTTCTGCAGTCTTTAATGCTTATAATTAGAAAAGACATGTAATTGATATCTGATCAATGCAAATGTGTCTGATCACTGCAAATGTGTCTTTGGCAAGAGATTCTGTAATGGATTGTTACACCTAGGGGCTAATTCAGTTTGTTTGTGTTTTTCAGATATCCAACTAAACAGAACAGGACTCTACTGCAGTATCTCATCATCATTGTTGACTATACCTCCACCATTGCCTCTTTTGCTGTGGCACTGGAACATGAAGAATGTCTGCTGTATTACCAAAGACTGACCAGAAGGAAGCAATGAGGGGCCCCGGGGGAAGTTGCCAAGCTGCGTTGTGGATCCAGTAGCTGGGATTCCGAGTGCTTGTTGTGTATGAGTGTGTGTTTGTGTGTGCGTGGGTGCATGCTAGCACAACCTGCCCACTTCAGGCAGCGACATGCTACTCTGAGACTGGAGTTGGACAAACAGAGAAGAAAGGAGTCGACCACCATAAACAAGAAGGAAGAAGGGGAGAGCACGCAGTACAACATTGGCAGATAGACGTACTGTGTGTTTTGGCTGCAGTTTTACCCAAGTGGAAGTGGCTTTTAATACATTGCACATTTCTATAAAACACCTTTCCGCTGTCTTTGTATCACCTCCCCCATCCCTTAAGAGTCCTGGTTGTTTTGGTGCCTCTGTGATTTGCATGGCCGGAGAGTAATCGTGGAGAGGCCAGGGTATCACAAGCTTATGGATT